TCGTACGCATGTGCATCGGACATCGGACGGTCAGGGGTGCACTGCTACCATTGTTGAATTACAACAAGTTCGATAGTACGGGACGCGCGTTCTCAAGCAGTCGCAGTTATATTTGTCTCTCGGGCAACTATTTTTTTCCCTTTTTCATTTTCTCTTTTCTTCCCCCTCTTTTTTATTTCTTTGCCTCGCAATACCCACGACGCGTTCGCGCATCGGGGACGAAGAGGAAGAAAAGGTTTAGAAAAATTAATCTTCCGTTAACCGTTCGAGGTCTGGAGCGTTTGCCCGCGCGTGTGGTCGGGACGCGTAATTCCCGACAGCTCGTGGAGTCGAGTTAAATGCTTCCACGTTTAAACACCGTCTCCGTAACGAGAACCATTTTTGCATATTACGCGTTTATGGTTAACGAGGTCAAGTTCGCGGAGGTGAAACAATGAGACGGATTAATGCGTTTTTCACGTGCACCCGAGAGAAGGGGTATTACGCGACACCGAGAACAGACATTTGGACAGACGTTTCTTGATCCTCGTTTGCTGTTCGACGAAAGTCGTTAAAGTATATCCACTTGGAATCGAACGCTGTCCGATCGCGCGCAACGATAACGAACCATCCGGCGAAAGTACGATCGTTACCTCGCGGCGTAACCGATCTAACGTGATTACTTTGATTAATGTCCCTCCGCGTTTAATTAATAACGGAAGAGTCGAATGACCGGGAAAAAAACGAGCGGGTGAATGAATTATCGTGCACGCTCGGCCGTAAATTAGCGTTCCGCGAATAAAACTTTCTCCTTCCCGTTGACATTCCGCAGATTTATGGAGGTGGAACTTAAGGGGCGGCGATTCCAATTAATCGATGGTTATTTTTCAGTAAATCGACGTTAATTATCCGCTGCTCGCGCCCATCGATGATCCAGCTCGATATTCCTCTTCCCGATCGATCAGCGATTTCGTGCTTGGTCGGATAACGCGGCTCGGCCAGTTTTTCTCTTCTTTCTTTTCTTCTTTCGCGAACGCGTAACCCGATCGAACTTAATTTAAGCATTCGATTCGAGCGATATCAAAGTGGCCGTAAATAACTCGCCGGTCCCCGATTCGGAAGCAGATAGCGGTTGATACGTGGGTGGCTCGCATGGAGCGCGAGGGCGCCAAGAAAAATCTCTCAACTTTTACTCGCGGCTGCGTGCACCGCGTGCCCGTTGCAAACCTATGCACACGTAATAATATCCGAAGCTGTACGCGACAACCGACACTTCCGTGTACGCTCTCTGTCCGCTCTGTGGATCTTTGCATACGAAACGCGAGATAGCCGCGAGATCCGAGTTTCAAACCGAACGCGTCCGGAACCTTGTTCTCCTTGGAAATTTTCCCATTTTTCGCCCCCGTTGTCCCCCGGTCGAAAACGAATATCCCTCGGGAACACCTCCCCGTACGTTTCCTTCGTTCTCGCGCGCTTTGCCCAATCGAAACCGGACCAACGATGCACCCGCGCTCGCGAAATCGTTTCGACAAGCAAACACGGTGCAACGAGTCGATGGATACGCGCGCGCGGGTGTATGCTCGCAAAGGTGTGCGCACACGGCGTATTTACGTACACGTGGACGTGCATAAGACAAAGAGGCATAAACTCGTCACGCACGCATGCACATTTGTGTGGCCGACAGGCGCCACCGTGCCGGTTCTGTGTTCGCCTGTGTGTAGACGACTGCACGTAACACCAGCTGCTACTCGGCCGAGTGTGAACACGTGAAACACCGGCTGTACCCGCGTGTGCGTGCATGCGTTACGTTTGTCGGTGGCGCGCGCGGATGAGCTCGCATTTTTCGACGCGGTTCTTCCGTTCGAGACAGGACTTTCGTGTCGCTACTCGACTTTTGCCGGACGACCCATTTTTTTCTTAGACGTGGCGCCAAGCAGCGTGACTCGGCTCGACCGCGATCGCGCGAATCGCTTTTTCTAGATCGATGTCGGGCCCAAGGAAGCAGCGCCGTGCGCGCTTCTTTCCGTCCTTCTTTCATCCACGCGGGGACACGCGCGCGGAGGAATGGACGCGGTCATCGCGTCGCGAAATCGGCATTCGAATCGAGCGATTCTCCTCGAATTCTTTCGCAGCGCGCGCTCGCTCGCCAATGTTCCGATAACGTTTATAAAACTGACAATTGTGCGTCTGGGATTCGAAACGAATGAGTCATATCGTAAAATCGACCTCGCTGGTCTATAAATATGCAACCGGCTGCACGAACCGAACCGAGAATTATCGCAATTCCGTAACTTGTTTGTATCGCGTAGATAAGAGGCTGGAACCTCAGCGATTTACGTAATTTTTAATGAACCTTTGAAAATACAATGTTTCTGCGCACGACTCGTCGGGTGTACGATTAAAACCGACACGCATTGTCGTTTTGATCGATCGGAGGCCTCGTGTGTTCCCTGATACACCGCGCCAGCCAATCGGAGTTAATGATTCCGGGAAACGCGAGGAACTTTCTAATCTGCGTGCACTATAAATATAAAATTCTGCCCGATCGTTCTTCCCCGAAGCAAGAAGATTGACGGGGCTCGCAGATAAACGGTCGGATTCGTCGGATGCATTAGATTAACGGCTTCTTCGCGATTGTCGAGCGTCCAGGGAACAGGCAGAAGCGAAAGAGAGATGGGGAGAGAGAGAAAGAGAGAGAGCGAGGAAGGCATTTTTCCCGGGACGAAGAATGCGCGATGTGCCGCGTGTCTGAGAAACTATAACGTCGGTGAAGTGGTTCCGTGAACCGAATCCCATCTCTGTGTACGTAGGATTCGTGCAGGCCGCATAAACCGAGCTGTACGTAATACGCGAGTGAGAAATTTCAACGGAATAAAGATCCGATGGATTTCTCGAACGCGAGTATCGAGAATAACGCGAGGAAAATCAATGAAGCCGGAGTTAGGTAACGCGTCGAACAACACCGCATAATCTGCATAAGCTGTGATTTATTGTATCGCTTTGTTACGCAAGGAGAGGCTCTTCTCTATTCGTTATCTGCGAGATTAATGAAAAATCGGCTCGCTATGTGCGAACCACCTAGGAACACAGGGCCGATCCGAAGCTCTCTCTGCCTTAACCTTTCTCGTTACTCGGTCCGTGGCAAAGGCGACGACGATTCGATGGACGAATGGTTGACGCGTGCGTGCGTGCGTGCGTTTCTCGACACGTTGTTCGCGATGCGCGTGCAATTGACGATGCACGGATGGAGATTCGCGGTGTACTTGCGTAAACGAGGACCGCGCAGACAAGCGTGTCGGAAGGTAGCTATCGTGCACATAGGCATTATATTATGTACTCTGCTATCCGCGCGCCTAGCTGGCGCCCGACACATACTTTATCGTCTTTCTAAACTCGGTATCGTGCGAACGGTAAAATTTAAATATTTATTATTTCGCAACCTCGCCGCGTTTGACCGGAATTCGTATGGCTCGGCCGCGTATGTTCCGGCTAATCCCGCAGGATATATATCCTAGATGGCGCCGGTCGGCCATGTAAATCTATCGATCGATCGTGAATCATTCGAACTGGGCCAACGTTTCCAACCGTGTTTCATCCACCCCTTTTCCACTTTTCCCTTCTTTTCCCTTGTCACCGCTCGCTCACAACGCGGTTCGCCGCCATCATTCGCCGTCGTACTCGATCCTCGATTTCCGTCGCGACTTCCTTCATTCCTCAGCGCCCGTATATCCGCAGCTCTTGCTTTACCTGTTTTCGATGAAACAAGACCGCCCAGTCTGTGTCACAGAGGAAAGGATACTCCCGGCCGGTACTTTCCTTTTTTTTCTCCCCGTCGAATACTCACGTGCATCGATAAAACGTTGAAATTGCACGCGTCCTTAATTGCTCCGCGCTGCCTGCCCGGTACAAAAAACATCCCGCGAGTTTAAAACATGCCGGTGCAAGACTTTTTCCCTTTCGTTCCGGAGAAGGTACAATTTTGCAATTACCGTGGCTGCACCGTGTGACGTAGGCACACCGCGTCTGCATCTGCTTCCCCCTTATCACGCGTTTCTTTTTTACGTGGTCGGGACACTTGCTCCAACCATCTCCCAGCCATGCACCCGATTCTCTTATTTCCCTGCTCGCGTTTCGCTCGCGACCAAAGCCTTCGAGGTATATCGCCGCACCACGGATTACGAATCTCGATCGCGTTCGATCGATCCTCTGCCTTTCGTCGCATCCTCCTCTTGCGCCCAACGTGCGAATCTACGCCTCGAGTGCGCGCGAAATTTTCAACACACGCCAAGGGAGAGCGTTCTACGAAACGCGGAACGCGATGAAACATGCAGAAAAGACCGAGCCAATTAATGTACTTCACCGACTTCAGTGGTCTTAATTTAGAGAGCGGCGTTTCCCGACTTTTATTACCCCGGCGTCAAAGTCGAGTGGCAGCGGTCGAAAAGTTTTCGGCAGCGTGTACACGCACGATCGTTTGAAAGAAAACGAAAACGTGTCACGCGTAAACGACGAATATTAGAACGGGTACGGGTTCTCGCCAGTTTCTACGAGGCATTTCTATTCCCATTTTAATCGATTCGCAACGATTCGTATCGAGCCACGGTTTAAGCTCCGCGAGTCTATGTGCCTCTTGCATACGGCGCCTTTAATCGTCGCACCGGTATCGATACGAATCGCGGGCATTAATTACGAATAAAATACGCGATGCCCTCGACCGAAGAAAATCGTATTCGAAACGAGTGATTTTCTTGCAGGGAGAACGCGTTCGAACGACGAAGGCCACGCTTAACGATAAACTTTAACCGTAAGACAATGCAACGACACGCATTGGAACGGGACCGCGACACTCGTGGCTAAAATTCGACACGTCCGACAATGGAACGTCGATTCCGCTATTCTCGTCGATTTCGTCCCCGTATCTGGCGCCACCCACGTGTACTCGTTCACGCGGTCTCGAGCCGCGCCACGGCCCGTTTCTCCCGACTTTCCCATGAAATCATGCACTCGAAATGTAACGTTACCGTTGTCATCGGGTTTTCCCTCGTTATCTGCGAGCACCTCGTAGTCCCCCGAATCGAGATCCACGGAAGCACCAGCGACCACAGTTAGACTCGACACCATCGTCGCGAAAGTCAACAAGTCCCGCGACAACATTTTACTTCGGGCTTATAACATGCACTCGATGTATCCCGATACTCGAAACGATCGTCGATCGCGCGTCGATTCCCGATCAGCCTTGACTTCCGACTACGTCGATCACCGATGAAACGATCAACGGGAACCACGATCAAGCCCCATCGAATCGTCCTCGATCAAAATTCCTCGCGGTCACGATCGATCGATCTTCCGTGCGATCGTCGGAAAATTCATAACGCGCGACGCACGAAGGAACAGTTTTACGATGCAGACGCGAAAGATGCGCGAGAGTTCCACCGGCGCCTGATCCCGACGATGGTCGACGCTTGACTGACTGACTCACTCCGGTCTCGAAAAGCAAACGCCGTGCAGCCGGACGACTCCGCCGCGGCTGGCGCGCACCAGGGGCACCCGGCGAAGAACACTCGCCAGATAGTTTTTAAACGAGTCCCGCCTCCGGCTGCGATAGTGTGCCCCTTGTCGGTGAACCACGCACCGTGAACGCGTACAATACGCACGTTCAACGGCTGTCGTTCATCCGTGCATCTGTATAGCTTGCACGATTCCACGCTATTTTCACAGCCAACACTCGAAACCGTTTAATCGCTCGATCGTCGGGGGGCATTCGTAGACCGTTTACTGGAATTTTTCTTCCGTCTCGATTCCCTCGAATCTCGTAGCGAAACTCCGTTTCCATTGCACGGATCGTCGGTTAATCGCACCGGGGCGAGACGATTCGAAAGTAGGAGTCGATTTCTAGTCTATAGGATTCGAGGGTACCTGCGGTTTGGCTTAGGTAACGACGATTCGACGACGGGTTTAGGCCGATCGAGAGCGCGCACATGGCCTCTGCCACTTACGTTAATGGCAGCCACTGTACCAGAACGTAGTATGCGGGCAGGCCGGTGGAGTCGTGTGTTGGTAAAAGGTTGAGTAGTGCGGATCGACGCCGGGAAATGGGCGGTCGGTGAGGGAAACGAGGGACAGGGAGAAGGGAGACAGTGGCGCCTGAGCCCCGAGGCAGAGACGCCACGTTTCCCTCGTGTGGGTGAGTGTCTGTGGGAGTCACGATGCGCGTACACACGGTGTCGCGACGTCGCTCGAGCGCTCGCGCGCGCACACGCGGTTCGCGCGTCCTCGGCAAGAGGAACGATGAAAAGAGCAGCAGCTTACTTCTGCTGTAGATCGTCAGCCGACCTCCTGACAGCCGGTCTCCTTTTTAGCTTTCCTCGTGCGCTATGTCCTCTTCGGCCACTTCTTTTCCTTCTTTGCGGACAAAAGTGCCCGACTGCCGCGCTTACGCGGCCTTTTAAACGCGCCGATGTCGCGCATCCGATCTTTCCATCCGATCGCGCGAGTTTATAGCTAGTCGAAGATGGGTTTACGACGAATCGAGCAAACGCGTGCGTATTCCGTCGATTTCTACGTCGGATTCACGACACCTGGCTAAACGATCGCGTCGAATAACGGGGCTGATAAACGGAATGAGTTAATCGTCCTCTGTACCCGATAATCGGTCTCCCTTTCAGCGCGCGTTACGCTCTGGACAGGTAGAGATCGTCACCCGAGACGATCGGTTGCGATCTCGCGAATAGAACAGCGTGTTGAGTTTGTTCGGTCAATTCGTTGCTTTTTAAGCGATTTCCTCGAAATCGGCCGGTAGTATTACGCTCACGGACAGAGCACGGCGTAATCTTTCTAATCTTTCCTCGCCGGTTTCGATCTTCTTCTTTCGCTGACTTTTCGTTCGTCGACGGTCTATTCGGTATGCACGTTACGTCGTGCTTTATTCCCTGTGGCTCCGTTTCCTTTTTTCCTTCTTTTTCTTTCTTATCTCGAATCCGCTCGGGCCTCTGCTGAATCGGAAACGTAATTTTACGTCATTAACGCGGTTTCCTTTACAGGAACTAGCGCCGCTGGTTCGATACTTTGAATAGTATAACCACCGCGAAGTCGGCGGTACGCCGCTTATTTTTAGCCAGGCATTAGCCAATTAACTATTAACTCGTTGGCGCCACGGCGCTGCTCCTATTTTTGCTTATTTCTTACACGAGTAATGCATCGCTGCCCTCGTCCGAATCGTCGGTATGCTCGCCGAGGATAATCCGATCCAAAGAGTGACGTGCGCGATGCTAAGTGCCGTCTCTCCGTGCGTATTGCCAAATGAAATATAGCTTCTGGCACGATCGTCTCGCCGATACTATTCTCAAGCGCGTTTCATCGAATCTTCATCCGCGAAAGGGGAATCGAAGCTCGGCTTACTCATCCACGTTCGTCGCGAATCCGAAGCGTTGCAGCGCGGTTAAGCGGTAGATAAGAGCCAAGACAAAGGCACGTTCGACGAGAAATAGCCTGCGGTTCGTTGACACTAGTCGTGGTGCAAGTGCGATCGAAAGAAAGAACTACGATCGCTTATTAATTACGCGATGGTGGCGTTCGCGCGGGAGAGCAAAGTTGAACCGAAGTGGTTTCGCAAACAGGAGGGAATCGACCTACGCTCGGGCAAAATGTTGTCAGGAAGGAAGAGAGGAGCGAGATGAAAGAAACGTCTCGTTAGCGGCTCGTGCGGATGAACCAGTTAGACAAGCGGAAGATATTCGTCCGAGATATTTGGTCCTACGAAGATGCCCGTGGGACGGATTACTACCTCAGGAATCGAGTCCATATGTTTAGCGGAGTGATTGATTTTCGTCGGGCGCAACGAATGCGGTGGTCAAGGAGGTCGAGTTAGATCCAGAGTTGGATCCGACGAGCACCTGGTCGTGGCTGGCCAGGTAGTTCTCAGGGATAGCCTAATGAAACGCGTTATCGTTCGTCATGGTTCCAGCCGACAGGGCTAACGCTGTCGGTCATCGCATGATCGAAGACGCTGAGAAAAGCTTTCGGTCGCGATAACGCGTGGTCGATGGAGAAACGATTTAACGCTGCAAACGATCCATTGTCTTGCTACCTTTTAATTCCTCGTGTTCCAATCTTTACGTACACGTTGATTAATTTTCCAGATTCGTACACGCACCGAGTCGTAGGAGAATGCGAAACGCATGTAAATCGGGATTCGTCTGATCCGCGTTTCCTACGCGACACTGCGAGAGAAATCGCGTAAACACGATCGTAACGAAATCGTAGATCCTGTAAAACGGGAATGCAGTTTTGTCGTGTACGAGTAATACTTTATCTTATCGCGCACGACGTGCACGTCGATTTCGACGGTTGTTGGCCGATGTTAAATTTACTTCGTAATCGCTGTCGCGTGTTTACACGCGTATACGCGTTCAACGAGCACCAAAATGTTCCGACCCGATTTTCTTTCGGTCCTTACACGATCATTTGCTTTCTTCTGCCCGCTACACGCGCGTCCTAAGGATGACTAATTACGTGAAAACAATCGAAGCACCTGGTTCTAGACCCGTGTGACCGGGAGGACGGAATTCGAATAACAGGCACAGCTCGACGTTAGTCATACCGCTGGAAAGAAACGATTTCAGCGCGTTGTTTGCCCAAAACTGTCCCTCGTCGAGCTTCGTCATGCATTCGATGACTCTTCGAACCACAGGATATCCTACGTTTCCTCGCATCCATTCGGCGCCGCACGATCCATCACCCTGAACAAACACGAACGAATATTCGATTGAAGGGGAGACAATGGAGAGTGGTTGCACAAATAATTCGATTCACGAGGAAAAGTGGCAAATGTAAAGCTAGATACTAGCCGATGGTAACAGCTTTAAAGACGAATTTTGATTCGAACCGTGGATCGATATCGCGATAAAATTATTCGCGTCTGCTATTGTCGATAATCTCGCGTGGCTACCGCGACAAGCGAGGCTCGAACGCCGTTCGATATTATCCATGACAAAAATCTGTTCGACACAGACTCGTTTGGCCTGTCGGCGGCGGTTATCTCCTGCACAGCCGGCTTCTATTTATATTTTGTGTTCGTTAGTCGATCAGGGGCATACGATTAAGGCAGAAAGTATCCGTGTCCGTGAGCGCGTACGAGCACACGTTTCAACCGATTTAACTCCGACTCCGTACACCGTGTAATTTCTCTTTGCACGATGAAACCGCTGATGTATCGCGGATAAGATTCGACGCGGCTATTCGCGCGACGAAAACTTATTAATCGAGAGCTTACCTGATTTATTCGATCCGACAACGAGAGATGGTTAGAAATCCTTGAAAAGCATCGATCTCTAGCGGGGAGTACGAGCGTGGCAGCCACGGTTATTCTACGCTGCCGACCGTGTAGG